AGTGGATCGGGAGGGGATCGGAAACGAGAGCGAGGGGAATAGCGAGCCAAGTGCACACCTTGTCCGTATAGGTCTACAATAATTGCCTGCACTTTAAGTGCGCCATTAGTACTAAATTACAGACAGCCAGCCAACCAAGCGGCAGCTAACGGCGCGGTCTAATTACGCGCTCACCTGCAACTCCCCCATTTTTGCACCCACTTTCACCGTCCAACCACCCACAGACCACCCATAAACCCCACCCATCGAAGCAGCAAATGCAGGAAAAAGTAAAGTGCGCTAATGGCAATTAGAAGTTTACCCGAGTGCAGTCAAAAATTTTGTAACGGCTGCGCAGCTGAAACTGGGAAAAGGGAAATGGAAAATGGAACCCGATGCTGAAGCTTGTGCTGCATTATTGAACATTTGGCTAATTGCCGTATAATTATTGCAGTTAAAAAATTTAGCACAACGCCTGGTGTTGCTGGGTGTTGGCGGCAATCCTTGACCGTAGCAGAAACTCCCATTTGGCCAGGTCATTGTTACACTTGAATATGCTTAATTACGTATACGCAACGTTTGCCCCAGTAAAGTTCGAGCAAAAGCCACAAACATTTGCATTGCATTGGCCAAGACAGACAATCATGGGAGTTTATACACTGAAAGAGTTTTTAAGTGCTAGTCTGATAGTTTATAAAACTCATTTTAAAATATTTTTAAAATAAATAAATCATGAAAAAATATTTAAAATAATAAATTGCAACAGCGAAAATTTTATATTTAAATATTTGCTACTAAAATAATTGTCTAACATTACATTTAAATTCTTCACCTTACTGTTATTAATTTTCGATTGCAGATAATTTAAAAATGTCCTAAAATACGCTTAAATTTTATTTAATTTATATTTCAAAGGACTTTTGCCACAGTGTTCAGATGAGGCAAAAGTGGTTGTACTTTAGCAGCTGAGATGCATTGCCGCATTATGCAGTTGCAGTTGCTGTTTAGCAGTTGCATTGGCTCCCATCTAATGCAAATATTATGGCAAAATCTCATAATTAAGATAAGCAACTCGGTTGAGTGGTTTTAATGAAAATCAAACAATTGCCAAATGCAACAATAACAGTGACATAACAAGGGGCAAATGCAGGCGGACGGATGGATGGAGGACCGATGCACCCAACAATGGCAACCGAAGCCTTCATGTCTGCTTTGGTTAATATTTAATTAATGCTTAGACCGTGTTTGCTAATGGCTGGGCACTGCTGCATCCATTGCCGTGGCGAACAGCATAATTATTTTGCCAGTATTTTGGCCTGGTCACAGTCCGAATTGTACTCGTAGATCCTGGCGAACAATGTATGCCACTCCACGAAATTCGATAGGAATTTGTAAGGCCTGCAACCTAAAACTGTTTACCCTGCCACAGATGGAGTAATGAACCCAGTATGTTGTCCAATTACATGCAATTGATGTTTGAACCCCGTGGCAGGCTTTAAGTTTTTGGGCTAGTATTTTTGATTAATTTTATTCAGTTAGTTTATCAGCTTTTTTAATATTAGGAGGTTTACCTTAAGTTTATTAGATAGGATTTAAAGTTACTGACTTTGTTAAAAGATTTTTTAAAAATGATTTCTTTGAAAATCTGCAAATCATAAAAATTACAAGAAGCAATAATAGTAAATAAATAGTAATAATGGTAAATAATAAATATTTAATAAATATTATTAAGTAAATATTAAATATTTAAAAATATGTTGTTGAGTTAAAAGCTTAAAGTAACGAATTCAAAAATTTCTTAAAGGGTTAACTGCTAGAATCTTTGCTCTTAAATTGCCATCATGCGTAATCGAATCGTGAAATTGCGACTCGATAATTAGGATGAGAAAACTGTGTCGCCCCAGAAAGTAGGCAGAAACTAGGACCTCGACGGGGAGTGCTTATAATTAAGGCTTAATTGAACGCAGCAGTCGTCACGTAAGCCAGTTAATGATGCACACGTTACTCGCCTTTGACACGTCATGAATTCACCGCAAACAGCTAGCCAAACTCACCGATTTCGTAACCCTCTCAAGACCGAATTTAGTTTTGCGGTGGTGTAGTTGTAGTAGTAGCATGTAGTAAGCGGGATTTTCGTCTAACTCCATTAAAACATTTGCATTGCGGACTTTTCGAGGACCAAGCGCTTGTTTGAGGTCCTTTTGTGTCGCCTCGCCCGCAGACAGAGCATTGTTTGAGGTGTACTTTATTACATACCCGAAAAGTTGAATATGCAATTCGGTGTGCATATTAACCCGCAAATTCTGCTCGGGGAGGGCGGTTGGAAAAAGTTGCCATTTTTTGGACCAACTATTTAGCATAACGACGGGCACTCATTATGAGGCAATGTACCCCCTTCCCGCCCTCTTAACTTTATTTGCCCAGTGTATTTGACCCCTGTTATTCGGAGGAACTGGAGCCGGGACATCAGGAACAGGAACAGGACAAGACGGCAGTTAGCTGAAAGCAGCTACCAAAGCACCGGGCACGTAAAATATGCGCAGTTGTACACCGGGAGTGTATGCCAGAGATCACTTGACTATAAACGAGATTAAAAATTCAATTACGTTGGAGCTGGAAGCTGCATCGAGTAGCAGCAAAGAGCGCAAAAAACACCCAGCGAGGGCCAAGCAGGGTAAAAAAAACATGGACAGCCAAAGTTGGCCCAAGCTGAACTAACGTGCAAAAGAAAAAACAATCATGACGGAAATAGTATTCTTCGCAGGCCGAAGTTTAAAGCACTCTAGGCAATCTATTGATCTATTGTTATGATAATAATAACCATCGTACTTATTGCTACTTTTTTGTACATTTTAAAATAACCAGGAAAAAATCGTTTAAATCTTGAGAAATTAAAAAGTTTTTGAGAATTAAGTTGGTTTATTTTTATACTCAGAACTTTATAGATATAAGATATAAAATACATATGTTTATTCTACTAAATTTATTCATAATGTATAAGTTTTAATGATATTATTATCCAAATCTCCTAAAACTCCATTTATAGCTCTACAAATGTGTAGATAAAATCGGAATACCCCAATCGAGAACTCTAAAAATGGTAGAAAGACAAACGCCATGGCTCTGGCGTATGCTCTCAAGTCAAAGCTGGCCATACGCTGGCGTAACCAGTTCGGGCAAAAGGGTTCCCGGGGGTCGATGGCTCCCCCGGCGGAGCAGTGGAGCAGGTGAATCGCTGGACACAGAAGTGGTCAGTGGCGGCGACGTTGTCGCATCCAACGGAAGTTGACAACAATTTATGTGCCTGAAACGGATACAATTTACAAGCCGAGCAGCGATGGCCCGCTGACTGTGCACGTGTAGCCCTGTAAAAGAGGTGAGTGCCGAAGGCTGGGTGCCCACTGTACAGGTGCTGCCATGGCCGAGAGCCCCGGCACCGGCACCCAAAAACTTCAAACGGAATTTTGTGTGAGTACTTAGTGCAAAGTGGCTAGGGACAGGTTTCCTTTTTGCGTATGTGTGGCTGCACTCGGAAAAATTCAAAAAGAATTTTACTTCAAATATTTGATTTAACCTTTTTTTAATTATTGGGAAAAATGGAGTTAGAGGTGGAAAATGTATTTCGGTAATTACAGAAACTAACAAGATATATAATTAGCTTAGGGGCGGACCTTTTGAAAAATGTTAAGCGGAGGGTTATTTTTTTCTGGAGGTGAACACTTTTTGAATCATTAAATTAAGTAATTGATTTATAATGCATATAAAGTGCGTGACACTAAATTAATTATAATGGAAAAATGATATTTATAAAATTAATGTAATGAAAATAAATAGTTATAGATAGCCAAAGATTTTAGAAATATTTCCTGAACTTGTAAGAATGTATTTTTTTGCTGACTGCGTATGTGAATCGCATTTTTTCACTCCACTTTTCTCCCCACCACCCCATCTCCTCAGTTGTTAGGGGCAACAGCCGGAGCCGAATCGCATTTGCAGGCCGAGAAAAACGAGCGAAACATTTGAATTTCGTTTCAAGTTGAAGTTGATAAAAAGCCAGAGATTTAGGGCGTGTCCTGGTGCTAGCAACGGACACAAATTTGGGTTCACTTTTTCCGCCGGATTCCCCCTCCCCACATCCCGCCCAGCAGTCCCTTGCTTTCATTCCGCCCAGGTAGCTTGCAGACCAGTCGCAAAAAAGTAACCCGCAATTAAGATAAAGTTTTTTTCTCCAGCGATATATTTTTAACTCGGTAATTTTTGTGTACTTTGGCCAAAGTTCTTGGGAGTGGGCGTGGCTTGGGAAAGGGCATTGTGGGCGGTAACGGCGCTTCAAAAAATAAATTTACTTAAATGCCTTTCATTTAATCAAGCACCGAGAGGGTGTTAATAAAGTGAAATAGACGAGAGCGGAATAGAAAAAAACGTTTTCAATGCCAATTTGATTAATGTAGCTTGTATGTAACGATGTGTGAGCTTCGCTTTGTTGATATGACGATGCTCCAGCCCACACTCTACTGCTTATATTTCTATTGCAATTAAAATGATATAATTTGTATGCAAAACAAAATAATAATAAATGCATACATGATGATAATAAATAAAAAATATATTTATGCGTATTGCAGTAGAATCTGAAATATAGGAGAAATAAATAATACACAGCAAAATAAGTTTGATTAGGTCAGCTAAAAACCCACCAAAAACTGCGCAAGCTTATCAAATGAAATTGACCCACTAAAATGATTACAAATCCAATAAATCATTTTAGTAATATAAACAATTTCACAACAAAATAATTTATGAGATTAATACCATCTAGTATCTTATCACTTTGATTAGACAATTAAACCGTACAATATTTTCCATTCCCACTGTGTCAATAGAAGCCTGTTTTCAGCTGAGCGTTATCAGAGGCAAACTCAAACAAAAAACAATTACCAAAGCTGATGTTGATAACAAGTGGCGGTGTTCCCCAGCTATTCGTTTAAAAAAAACGTCACACACTTGAAAGAACAAACAACTTTTGAGCAATAAAAAATATAATTTCAACGATCGTATTACTAGATAAGGCTGATAAGACAACTAGGTACTTAGGACTGTAAACAACAAACAGAACGGCAATGCCTCTACTGTTTCTTGAGCTTCTCGGCATGTGGGCACTTTTGTTTCTTGCCCCGCAGTAATTTGCAAGATAACTTGAGGACCACTAGGCTGACTAGTAGGGGTACGCCCAAGAGCACAGCCCATGTGTCCAGGCTGTGGAGTTGGATGGCGTTGAGATCGCGGGCGGCTGATCGCAGGTGAGGAGCGCCCTTGTGCCTGATAATGTATTCCGTCCACCAGACAGCTCGATCGAGAGATGTTTGCGGCTGATCGCGATACCGTTCCGAAATGGCTGCCGATGCTTTGGCATAGCTGGGATCGTTGAGCAGCGTTTGGATGGCCTTTTCCAGTTCCTCCTGCTTCAGATTGTTCAGATCCAAGCCCAAACCGAAGCCCATTCGCTGGGCGCGCTGCACATTCATGTGCTGGTCATAGAAGCACGGCAATCCCAGCACCGGTTTGCCAAAGTAAACACTCTCCGTGGTGCTCAGCAGGCCACCGTGGGTGATGAAAATCTTGACATTAGCATGGGCTAGAATATCCGGCTGGGGATACCATTTCTTGATCAGCACATTCGCTGGCTTTCCCGGCATATCATCGTCCTCGAACTTCCACAGCACTCGCTGCTTCAGCTTGGCAAAGGTTTTCAACAGGGTGTCACGAGTTTCCTGCGGCAGATCCTTGCTCTTCACATTGGAGCCCATGGAGAAGTAGACAACGCCATTGGGCGAACCCTCAATGAACTGCTTAATGTCCTCTGGCAGCGGTTTCGGCTTGTGCGAAATTTGCATTCCACCAACCTCGATCATGTTGGGCAGATAGGGACGCGGGTAGCTCAGGGAAAAGTGCTGTCCCAGCAGAATCAACGAAAAACTATCCATGATTTCCTCCATGGTTTTCTTTGCATTCGGGAAATACTTCTTGAACACCTTCTTCATATTGGGCAGGTGAACCAATTCCCAGTGAATATCCTCAACAAGGACTTCGTAGTGGTTTTCCAAGCGTTCCACAAAAGTCATCCTATCAGTGCGGGGAGAGGTCACCAATGGGTTGTACGAAATGGGTGATATATTGCCAACCGCCGCATCAACCTTTCTATCTGTTCCGAAGCTGGAGAAACCAATCAGAGTGGCATTGAAATGTTCCGCGAAGGCGTACAGCGGTTCCATTTGGAGCATCTCGGAAAGCACTATATCAAAAGTTTCTCCCGAGTTCAGAAGCTTCTGCACATCCTTATTGTCCAGAGTGACCTCAGTGAACCTGGTCAAAATGAAATCCATTGCATTTAGCTGCTGCCACAAAATTGGAACATTCAGCAGGCTCATCATTTCTGTAGGTTAAAAAAATTAAAAATATTAGTTCAAGTAAATAATAAAAGTCATCATTTGTTCTTTTGAGAATTTAAATATTTTTGTACTTTAAAGTTCATATTAAATGCAATTATTTCTTATAAACTTATTTCTTTTTAACTATTTTTAAACGGTTTTGAAAATACAGTCGCGTTGAATTTTTTTATTTTTTAATCTATCAACCATAATTAAATTCTCAAAAGAGCAATATTGTATTAAAACTTTTATTAATACACACCATCAGAGAACTCATGCGCTTTAAGAACCTCGATAAAGCGCATGTTTGGCGTTTCCTTGTTCTTGAAGGCGTTGATCACAGTCACCTGGTGACCCTTTGCGGCCAGGGCCTTCAGGTAGTTCTCCATAAATATATACTGGGAGCGACCCGGAAATGGCAGGGTAGCCAAGATCTTGGCACCTTCCGTTTCGAGCGGCTTGGCGCTCAGAGCGCAAAACACAAAAGCGATCACAGCGAATAATCTCATAGTTACTGATCGAGTCTCTAGCAACGACTAATTGATCAGATCGCCCAAGCTTCTCTATATATATGACAAGCTTTTGCTGATAGCGAGCGAGAGAGCTTTTCGAATAACGCTCAATCATGCTGATGAAGGGCATTAGCTTTCGCATTTTCATCGTCGTCGGCTATTTGGAGAGGAGAGATTAGAATTTCGATGGCGATCCCCAAGTTAGGGTAGTCCAAGTAAGACTTTTCATTGCTAAGGCTATGGCTATCACCCCACCCATATTATCTTTATAGGTTCTATAGGTGCACTGATGAAATCACAATTTTTAGCAGGGCCAGCAAACTATTTCACATTTTGTTCAAATATTGCCAAATGTGTTTGGAGCTCGATTTCAATAATAAGCTCCTGGTACGCGATGGCACAATCGTGATGGTAAAAGTTTTTGGGTTAGTATCATCGATTTTGGTACGCACCGGTACCACTATCAAGTCGTTAAACATCTTATACTTGTTTATGGAATATTTTTTACATTTTTGATAAGAAGCGACTGAATTGATTACTAAATAATTAAGTCTTATTTTTTATTAAATTTTTTGTTTTGTAATAAATGTTTGTTGCTTAAATATGATAGTCCAAAAAATTTAATAATCAAGTTTAATTAACAAGAATATTTATCAATTTGGATTTAAAAAATGTATATTTCTAAAAACAAGTGAATGTTTCTTAGAGTTGATGGTCCCAAAAATTATAAAATCAAGAATATTATTAAGTTTGGATTGAAAAGATTCCTATTCCTAAAAACAAAGGGCTTACAACTTTCCCTCCTGTCCCCATATTAATTTCTCAATTTGTACAAACTACTTAAAGTTGGCAAACTCCCAAGAGGCTTTTAAAGATCTTCCCGTGGAGCGGAATCCGTTGGACTGAGTGCTAGGCAAATTCCCCAAAGAATGTGCGTGAGAAGTGCAGGCCAAACAAGCGGAGGAGGCAACTAAAAACAAAACGCACAACAGGGAGCAGCGCCAAAGGACGAGGATGAGGACGAGGACAAGAACAAGGCTCGAAACGAGGACCAATGCAGCTGGCCAGTTGGGAATTTCTGCCGGTGGAGGCGGAACTCGGCGGAGCATAAAAGCCAAAGCGCTGCCTAAGAAAAGAAATTATTTGCTTAAGCGACGGCAAAGGACCTTGTCCGGAGCTTCCTTTTTTCCTTTTCCCGGAACAAAGCGCACACACACACACAGAGCCAGACAAGGAACAACAAGAATGGAAATAAGCTGAATGAAAACAGCAGGAAAGAAGGGAGAAAAAGGAAACTGAGTGGGCAAAAAATATTAAACTTTTATGCACGAAAATTTTTAAGTGTATGTCCGGCGGGAAAAATTGTTACTGTTAATTTATAAATAAGGTGGAGTTGTTATTGTGGGCTTCTTCTGACGGAATGTCCGTCGGTCCCTTCCGAAACCCCTCAACCACCGCAGTGGGAACCCCTTTTTAACCCACCACCGCCACCACCACATCCCGGGCTATTTGTTTTCACTTCAATTTATTTGCTTTCTTGCGCACATTTTCACTCCTTAGCCCTTGTTTACTCCTTTCATCCAACCCACTACCATCTTTCCCATCCTTCTTCTTTTTCTTCATTTTTCGGATACCGTCTCCAACCCTCTGAGCTCTTTTGCCCCTATTTTCTGTGGCCTTTTCTTTGGCCGTTTATTATGGGGCTTTTCGTTTGGTCGGCCCCGGATCGCCTTGCAACTTGATTCAATTAAGTTGCCTGATTATTTTAGCTACAAAAAAATGATACCGAAAAGGGCTTAGAGGACTGGGGAAACGAAACAGCCACCTTTTTTTCCTTTCTTCGGTTAGCAATTTTAATTTTTTAATAAAAGGCATGTGTAAGGCGAGAGCTCTACAAGTGGGGTATCTTGTGGTTTCTGCTACCCTACACTCATAGAAATTTTTACCTAAATACTAGAAAAGTCGCCCTAAAACCGAGGTCGCCCTAAAACTAAGGAAAATTTTCTTATTATACGGGTGGCTAGCCCTAAATATACGAAAAATCGCCATGGAAAATATTTTTATACCCGTTACTCGTAGAGTAAAAGGGTATACTAGATTCGTGCAAAAGTATGTAACAGCTAGAAGGAAGCGTTTCCGACCCCATAAAGTATATATATTCTTGATCAGGGTCACTAGCCGAGTCGATCTAGCCATGTCCGTCTGTCCGTCTGTCTGTCTGTCCGTCTGTCCGTCTGTCCGTCTGTCCGTCTGTCCGTCTGTCCGTCTGTATGAACGCTGAGATCTCAGAAACTACAAAAGCTAGAAGGTTGAGATTTCCCACACATATTCTTTGGCTTCCTACGCAGCGCAAGTTTATTTTAGCCGAGCGCCACGCCCCTCTAACGCCCACAATCGCCCACTAACGATTTTAAAATGGGTCCTGCGCCCACATCTTTAAAGATTTCCGCGAAGTATAAATGCAATTTTGTTGTGTATATTTATACCTATCGAAATGTAGAAGACATTTTTCAAATCGGACCATTCATTAAAAAGTTATACGATTTATAAATTGTCAACATATATCTATCTCCCTCGCACTCCCTTTAGCTGAATTACGATTATTAGTCGGGACACCAACCCGACACAGCGTTCGCACTCCCTTTAGCGGAGTGACGGGTATTAGATAGTCGGGACACCAACCCGACTATAGCGTTCTCTCTTGTTTAGGGTTAGTTTTTTCAAAAAGGCAAATTTTCCCTGTTTTTTAGGGCGAATTTTTATGAGTCCCCTCCAAAAGTAATTCCTTTTTTTTAGGGCGAAATCGCCCTAAAACGTTGAACAAAATAGCAAAAAAAATGTTCTGAAATTGCCCTAAAACCAAGGAAGAGTCAAACGAAATTTTAAGACGCAATTAATGGATACATATGTAATACATGTGTGTATGTGTGTGTGGTTGACAGGTCAAAACAAGTGAATGTGTGTGTATATTAGGGCGGACCTTTTTCTATGAATTTTGATGCTGAGCGCATTTGACTTTAGAGAAGTCCACCCTTTTTCTTCTTCTTTGCTACTTTTCGTCCGCTGCAGTGGCAAGGGTGGGGGTAGAAAGAGTTGCATTGTCTAGACTTTGTCATAATTTTTCGGGCGCTTGGAAGTGAATGACGTGTTTTTGAGTAACTATTTGTTTGTGAGAAAGTAAAAAAATGGAAACGGTATTAAAAGACTTGGGAGGCGATTCTTTCTCTGTTTTCTGTTGAGTACATACATATATAATTGTGCAATTTGGATATTAATAACTAATTGAATTTACATATCTGTAACAGAGGAAAATGCAGCTGAAACTTAAAAGATTTGACTGGAAGCAGAGTTTTGGAAGTGTGGCAGAACAAAGTAAGAACATTAATAAGAGTATACATATATGTATGTGTATATGTAAATAATGCTTGAGGCAAAAAGATGATGCAACAGAATACACACATGTGTACAGATGTATATATTTACCAGAAATCTGTGTTTATGCACCGGACAAACCGCATTCACAAGTGCATATGCCTAAATAACCCCAAAATTTCTATTGCGTCATTTCGTCAGTAACCGAAATTTGCTTTTGTTGCTTCTTTTTTTCCAGAAGTAGCAGCAAACGCAATCGCAGGCTAAATGAAAATTCTGACTGTTAGTAGTGCATTTTTATATTAATTTCTAACAATTTTTTTTCTTGTTTTAGATTGAGAACGCAAACCACTTTTCGCACTTTTTAAAAGCGAAAGTAAGGGAATAAAACTGCTCAAATCTTTGGAAAGCCACGCTGAAGGTATGTGCTTTTTCTATTTTTCTTTTCTCATTCAATAAATAGACTGTTTTTATTTAATAGAGATACAATCAACTTTAATTTGGCTTGCGATCCATTCAGTGTTGGTGCGACAGCAATGACAAAGAAGGACGGCGGGAGCAAGAACGCGAAGCACACCGTTGCGGACCCGCGAAGCCGTTTCTTGGTTTGGAAGGCTACTGTTGGGGAACTGCAAACACATCTAAAGGCATTGACGGAAAATTGCAAATCCGGAAAGCCAAAACTGCAACCATTCAGCTGCAACGTGGGAACAAGCCCTTTTTGACCTTGGTGAATTTCCAGTTTACCTATCAGAGGTTTTTTTATAGAATGCGAACCTTATTGAAAAGTATTGATGTGTGCTTCAAAATATTTTTTGTTTTAAACCACGACATTTATCCAAAAAATGTTTTATGAAATTCATTTAGAGTCTGATAAGAAAGGTAGAGCTTTATCCGAACTCTTGGAGGATTATAAAACCATAAAACTGTAACTATTTTAAAGAAACAATCTGTTCATTCCAAAAAAAATATTATTTCTATGCCTTCAATTAGAAGTAAAATTTGATAATCAGTACTTATTGTAATAAACCTTAAAAGACCTAAAATTCCCTCCGGCGGAAGCACACAACCTAAAGACCAAAAAATACATTAAGCCAAAACATTATTTTTAAGATCGATGTAATTCTTTTAGCAATAAGAATAAGTAGAAAAGTATGTAAATGTATATAATTAGAAATTGTGTAAATAACAACAAACAAAAATATAAAAAAAAAAAACAAAAAAAATATAATGAAATCGGGTTTTTTATTTATAAAAAAAACCGGGAAATTTTGGGGAGCACTTTGCTTTTTTTAGGGCAATTCGCCTATAAATCCAGAAAAACGCCCTAAATTTATGAAAATCTGCCGTTAGTTTCAGGATATTTTTTCATATTTCTAGGGCAATTTGCCCTAAAATCCAGAAAAACACCCTAGATTTATGAAAATCTGCCTTTAGTTTAAAGGTATTTTTTCCGATTTCCAAGTCAATTCGCCTATAAGTCCAGAAAAATCGCCCTGGATTTAAAGGAAACTGCCTTTAGTTAGTTAGTTTTTAGGGCAATTAGCTTTGAAAATAGAAAAATCGCCCTAGATCTACGAAAAATCGCCCTAAATGTGTGACAAATTAACCCGTATTTTTAGGGCAATTTGCCCTAATT